TAGTATCTTCAATACATTATACAGTATTAGTAAAATGTGTAGTATCTAGAAACCACAAGTTTAATATGGCATACATTTAAGTATACACAACTAAAATTTCCAAACTTCTGTTTTGTTTCCTTTTTTCTTGTAATATTAAACTCTTCCTACTGTTAATCCATCTCTATACTAGACTGTCAGCATAAAAAAGAAAGACAGTAAATAATTTTTAAAGTGTGAAACACATAAGTTTTAATGTTAACGGTTTATGAAAATTAAAATCCACAAAACAGACCTATGTAAGAATATTTATATGTTATCTAAGATTTTTAAGTTATTTTAAGTTATTTCATATTTACTGGTTCATGTTAATATTTAACAAGGTACAAATAACGCTAATGATAAAGCTTACTGATGGAAGCCAAGAAAGAGGACTAAAATGTATTTAGTACATACATAAATGATAAAAGTAATTCATTAGATAATGGCATTTGCATCTGACAATAATGGAAAAAATTAAAATGTTTTGAGGCTAACAATAAAACTTTCACTTATTTGCAAAAATAAACATCATTCAAAACTATGGGACTTTCAATACAAGTAGAATTATTCCTGTATACTACAGAGCATCCATTTATAAAACTGCTGTGTGCTTTCAGTGACCTTTCAGTTGAAGTGAAACATAAAAGTTGTACAGGTTGAGTATTCCCTGTCCAAAATGCTTGGGACCAAAAGTGTTTCCGATTTCAGATTTTTTTGAATTCTGGAATATTTGCGGTACCCTGGTTTAGCTTTCCTAATCCAAAAATCCAAAATCTGAAATGCTCTAATGAACATTTCCTTCGAGCACCATATCAATGCTCAAAAAGGTTTAAATTTTGAAGCAATTCAGACATCAGATTTTCAGATTAGGGATACTCAACTGTGATAAAGAATAAAAAAAGGGAAATAATTTACTGAACTTTTAAAACAGCAATGCCAAAACTTTGTTACTATATATCATAGATTACTGCTAATGCTCGTAAGACTTTTTCCTGATTAAATTATTAGCCAAATCACTAGAGACACCAAAATTCTGATCCCTAATCTTGATGGAGTTCTTAGGCACTCTTAGGACCTTACTACATTATCTGCATAACTATTCATGCATATACATTCTATCTTTCCTCTAAGCTTCTAAGGGAAAGGAATCAAGTTACTGATTCATAACTATCATATTGTCTTGAACAGAGCATAAGCTTAATAAACATCTGATAAATAGATATACTAAATGCTGTAAACTAGATTAAAATTTCTGGGGCAACAACTAGTGCTACACATTTTCATATAAAAGATGCGGTTTCATGTCTTTTAAATGTTCAATACTCCTGAAAATGTTCTGAACTACTGAGTCACACAGCTATGACTATTACATCCTTTTCAAACCTTCATCATGTTCAGTAAACTATACTATACAAACCTTAAAAACCTTGTCTGGCCCAGCATAAGCTTATAATTCCTAAAGCATAAAGTAAATGTGAAAACAAGATGTGCTATAATTTCCTAAGAATCATTTATTTCAGTAACAAATACTTAGGAACACCTACCAGGTTTTAGGCACAGATAAATAAATACTTATGCTCAAAAATCTTACAGTCTAATGTGAAAGATCAATATTAAATATGCAATTGATGATTTAATTACGAGTATGTAAAGTATTATAGGAGAACGGCATAGAAAAGGGAACTACAAGAAAGTTTAGTGAAGGTGTTAACCTAGTCTGAACTAGTCTGAAGATAGTAAAAATACAGTATCTACACAAACTTTTTTTAAAAAACTCTATTTAGCTCCTTGAAGACAGGATCAGCATTCTGCTATTGTTTAGACCCCAACCCCTAGGACTGACAAAATAAATAATTTCTTCAGTCAACAAATATTTCCTGAGTACCTATGACGTGCTAGGGCACAGCTCTTAGTAAAGTGCTAGAAACACAACAGTAAGCAAGAGAAGCAAAGGCCCTTTTGTTCTCTCGACAGATGTTTTCTGAAATGCACATATAATGGTTTTGTAAGAATTTGAATTTACTGGGTTTTAGTTTTGTTTCTGGGAGACTGTCATGCCAGGTTGCAATAGTTACTTCTTAGGAATACATCACAGTGGTCGAAGATACTTAATTTAAAAAAATTTTTTTGAGACAGGGTCTTATTCTGCTGGACTGCAGTGATGTAAATGAAGCCTCTACAGCTAATTTTTGTATTTTTATTGTAGAGACAGGGTTTCACCATGCTGCCCAGGCTAAATTTTTTAAAATGTCTTAGCAGTATAAAGAAAGAATATTAACCTGTTATTAACTGTTTGTTAAAATATAACTTAAAAAGCAGTGGATAAAATACAAACTAGTCTATATATTTATGTTTAACATACAACACAAAATTAAACGAGTTAAAAATACTTCTTAAGACAGAAATATTTTAAAAAAATCTTTAAAAAACCTAGATGAGGCTGGGCATGATGGCTCCCGCCTGTAACCCTGGCACTCTGGGAGGCTGAGGCAGGCGGATCATGAGGTCAAGAGACCATCCTGGCCAACATGGTGAAATCCTGTTTCTACAAAAATACAAAAAAAATTAGCTGGGTTTGGTGGACCGTGCCTGTAGTCCCAGCTACTTGGGAGGCTGAGGCAGAAGAACTGCTTGAAACCAGAAAACAGAAGTTGCAGTGAGCTGGGATCACACCACTGTACTCCAGCCTGGCAATACAGCAAGACTCTGTCTCAAAAAAAAAAAAAAAAAAAAAAACCTAGATGAAATCACTCTCTCTTCCTATTCTTTCATGTCTAACTTTCAAAGTAACTTATGAATGGGGCAAATTTTGCATACAGTGCTACCCTTAGTCATTCTTAGTTTAAGAATATGATATGCACTAAGAATGACAAATAATTTGAAAAATTGTATATAAACACTATATATTTTAATATTGTATTTAACAATATTTTATATATTGTTTATATTATATATTTTAATAAACATATATTTACTTACTATACTTCATTATTTATCTCCTACAGAAAGGCAGTAACACAACATTTTTAGAAAAGAAGCACAGACTCTAGAACTAAACTGCTGAAGTTTAAATTCCAGCTCCACCATGACAAACAACGTAACTTTGAAAAGTCACCTGGACTTTCTGAGCCTCAATTCTCTTATCTGGAAAATAAGACTAATAATATATTTACTTTACAGGGTTATTATAAGGAATGATAATTTAGTATTTGTAAGATGCTTAAAACTGTTTCTGGCAGATATATAAATAACAGCTGATATTATTTTTAAAGTGTAAGCTTCAAATCAGGGTAACATATTTCAAGAAAGGCAAACCAGAGTATATTTAACAAGTAATTTTTAATTTTTCTTAGTTACCAACTCTTTGAAAGCTATAGACCTTTTCTTCAGAAAAGAAATCATATAATTACTTTCAAGTGGTTTGTGTACTTTCTAAAAGTCAGCTCTGATATCAAGGGTTTTGGACCTCACAGGCTTAAAATTTCTAAGCTATAGATGGCAAACAAGATGGTAAGAAAAAACGTGGACTGGAAACTGTAATAAAAAGAACAGTTAAAGGTATGTGAGAATATGTGGCTTTGAAATATTTAGAACACAGTCATTGCTCTCAAATTTAAAGCATGGTCTCAGTGAGGAAGCGGCACTCAGGTTTTATTGCTGCATATTACTGAAGAAAGAATAGGTTACAGAAAGGCAGATTGGTATTAAGAATAAAAAAGAATAGTTTATAGTTTTCAGTATTAAGAGGTTAAATTAGGTCAATTCTAACGATCCCATCAACATTGTAAGATCTATTCAACAACAGAATGGCTCAAGAACTATTGCCAGGCACTATCAACAAAACAAACAAAAATTCCTGCCCTCATGATTCTAAGTTTGGTTCGCAGAGATAATGCAGTCACTAACCAGGGAAAATAAATTTTGGAATGTAGTAAACATTTTTACCAGTCCACTTTCAAAAAGCAGACACTTTCCGTCTGCTAGAGAATATTCTACAGTTATATATACTTTAAAAATATTAGTTTTCATGGGATTAGAAAGCAGTTGCTACTTTATTTTAACATCAGGCACTGGCAATTTAGAATAGTTTCTTTTCCCCACTGAAACACACTTATTGCTCTTCATCATCATCAGTGCTAAAATGGCATTGCTAAAAAAACTAAAGGGTGGTCTGCAACCAACTTGAGTCAGTTTACTGAGACATATGAAGTTCCCCAATCGAACACTTACTTGACTCACCATAATCTCAAGCGCACTCTGAATTGAACAACCTATTCCAGAAGGAATTAATTAGCTATGCAAAGAGGAATAACTAAGAAATCAGAAAAGGAACTTGCAGATTTATTTATAGACATGTTTTCATACCCTGAACTCACTAGAAACAAAAAGAAAGCAAAACAAAACAGTTTTCCAAAGTGCAAAGCCAAATGTGAAAGTAACGGCTAGGGAACAAAAATGTGTTGCAAAGCTTAGATAGTAGAGCAAATCTATGCTCTATAAAACTAATCTAATTTCTGGAACTGTCCATTTTGGCTTAGTATCCCAATTAGATGAAAGGGATATGAAAAGAAAGGCAAATAACATGGAGAAAATGTTGAATAAATTGGTATTTTTAAAACTTTCTGTTCTGACGTAATGCTTTACCAAGATAATGAATTTTGAGAAAACTTTTATATTAAAAGAAATACCTTAAAGCTTTGTAATTTTACCCACTTAATGCTGAACTTGTTTTACTAAGATCTAGTTGCTAAGCCTGAAAAAACCTTAGAATCTTAAATTTTGGTTCAATTTCCTAGGAAATACTCACTGTATGTCTAAACGTAAAAATTAAACATATATTTTTAAATGTCTGTTAATATTTTGAACTGTCAAATAAAACTGGCTTTATAAAATCTAAAGACATGATATTTAAACTAGACATCTCATAGGTAATCTTAGCTGTAATCTAATTAGGTTCTTAAAGAGCATCATATAATGACCTGTGTTTATTTCCTCTGCAATTTCCACATCTTCTATTTGAATTGTCTGATCCAACATCTCCATAAAATGGTCTCTGATTTCTTCAGCCGACTCATCATCAAATTTATAATCACACAACATTACAGTGGATCCAGAAAGGGGAACAAAGACTCGACGAGGGAGGATGTGGAACTCTTTTTCAGAATCTAAAAGGAGAAAAAATATTATCAGTATTTAGATAGGTTTGTCACTGGTATCAGTGATACCTATTTTATAAGTATATAAAAACAAATAAAAATAAAGCTTAAAAGGTCAATGTTTCTTCATTTTCTAGTTGATCTGGCACAAAATTGCTGTTACTGAATTCTGCTTTACCTCAAAACCTGTGGCCTCTGCAAGGAACCTAAATGATACACCTACAAAAAATAAACTTAACACTGGGTGTTGGGGCTCATACCAGTATTCCCAGCACTTTGAGGGGCTGAGGCAGGTGGATCATTTGAGCTCAGGAGTTTGAGACCAGCCTGGCCAACATGGAGAAACCTTGTTTCTACTAAAAATACAAAAACTAGTCAGGCATGATGACCTGTAATCCCAGCTACTCAGGAGGCTGAGGCAGGAGAATCGCTTGAACCCAGAGGTGGAGGCTGCAGTGAGCTGAGATAGCACCACTGCACTCCAGCCTGGGCAACAGAGCAAGACTCCATCTCAAAATAAAAATAAAATAAACTTATTGCCTTCAATGTAAAGATGTTGATTACACACTTTTATATGACACACTACCCTATGAAGGACACTCAAGAGACAATTTTGTCCTTGGTGTCAGAAACTATTGTCCTTCTTTTTTCTTTTACCCTCAATAGGCACTGTACATTTTATAGTGGTTTTTCTCTTCTTCATCCAAGTTCAGAGCCAAATTAGTGGCCGCCTTACACCAAGGGCATATGATCTGACAACATATATTTTTGTACTAATCTAACCATGAATTTCATCTTACTAGATGTAGTCCCCCTTCCTATTCAAGCATGTTTAGGACATCAAGTCATACATACATTTTTGTGCACCAATCTCACTGCCAACTCCATTTTGCTTTGTGTTTTTACCTTCCCTTTGACTCTTCATTACTAACATTTATTTTCACTTGTTTGCTTATCTTCTTTGTAAAAAGCGTACATCATTTTTAGAAAAAAATAAATCTAAATAATATTTCATTCTTCTTTGAATATTTACAAACTAGAATTATTATTTCCCCTAATTTCTAACACAAAGAGTCACTGTTACGTGTAAATAATTACTTTTTAGTTCAACACTACGCCTCTTATGACTATCACAAAGATGGAAATTTTGTGGAAAGAATGACCTCTTTCAGCAACAGATATGATTAAAAAGCTACTAATGTAAAGATCAAGTAGACAACTAGGGCTTACTTTAATAGTAACCTAGACTTTGTTGTCAAGAAACTAGTGGTAACTTTACATAATTACAAACAAAAGATGACGAACAATGCCTTAAGTATCACAGGAAAGGCAATGAATTAAACTATGCGTTCCTTCCAGATTCTGTGTATTATGTCGTTTGCACATGAGAACTGGGAGATAAATTTTACTCTTTAACCAGATTGCCTCCTAGCTGTAGAAGAATATTACTGCAATTTGAAGTACAGTACAAAAACTGTCCACATATTGAATTTAGGACTATATTATTTTATTTTGGGCTGCAGTTACTTGAAACAGATTAAGTAAAAACTCAAAAATGACCATAATGTGCATGTGCAATTGGCATGCAGAATTTTAAAACCATTTCAAATTACATAAATTCTTGGTATCTCTGAAAAATAACAAGCTAAAAAAAAATCAAACATTAAGGAACTGGTTCCAATAAATTTAAATTACTCATTAAAAAATAAAAAACACTTATAATTTTCAAATTAAGAAGTTAAATTAGCAATTTAGTATCTAAATAAGACTCATTTTCTGTTGGTCTTAGGTTGAAATGGGAGGAGAAATCTTTTTGAAAGACCCATCTCAAAAAGCATTCCAAAGAAGACTCCTTTAGGAATAACCTCATGCCACAGTATCTAGTTCAACATCATCTGAATAAATTCAAAACAAATAAAAAATTTTAAATTTTAGCCAATATAATAAAAATTGAGCTTCTATTGGTTAGATATCCCAGCTGGTATCAGAGTATTACAGGAAGTTTTAAGTTATTTAAGTATTCCTTTTTTATAGAAACTTTTTTAGAATAGGCGATAGCAGAGCTGACGCTTAAAGGATAAAAGGACATCTGCATAAAGGGATAGGACAAGTACCATTCAGAGAGTAGAATCATGGGCACAGGCAGCAGAGGATTACAAATGTTCTGGGAAGACAGCGGAGTGGTATGGACGATACTGATGTAGGGATGGGCAAAGATAAGAGGTTTCATAACTGATGACCTATATTTTCATGAGTAAGTCATCTATGAGAGTAAGCTGAGCAGGACTGAATGAAGACTTTTAACAGTGAAGAAGGCTTAGGCTATATCTTAAGAGGACTCAAAGAGGAAAATCACAATAAGTAAAAGGATTAATTGGAGTTTTTTTATTTTTCCTGACATTGAAATAGTAAGTTCTTTTATCTGGATAGCCGAAATTAAAAGCCTATGCTTACTTTAGAGATCAGACATATAAAGTTATTATGTCCTTTACAGACTTCCTCATACATGCAAAAATACTCTAATTCAGGTTAATTTTATGGCATACACTCTATATTTTACTAAATTACAGTATCTATAAGATTTAACCAGTATATAAGAAAAATAAGGTAAGTAAAATGAGGGCAAAATCTAAAATGGAACAATTTGGTGTATAAGTTCAACATCAGAATTTACATTTATTTATGCTTGAGGGGATGGATAACTCATTCTCCATGATTATTTGATATCACATGCTTGTATCAAAACATCTCATATACCTCAAATATACACATACTATGTACCCACAAAAGTTAAAACTTAAAAAATTTTTCAATTTACATTTATTTACATTATCACACTTTCAACATATTCTTTTATCTTGATATCTAAGATGAAGTAATACGCTGTTAGAATAACTACCCTGTTACTAAAGTGTTGGATATAATTTACATCTTATTTCTGTTTGAAATATGCTGAATTTCCCAAAAATTGAAGGTAAGGCATTTTGAAGACAATTAACACACGTAATTCTCCTCCTTCATCATCTCTAACATGGTATCAATACCACTTGCTGAGGGCTTGCCTTATACCAATTTTATTAGGGGCCTTACAAACACCATCTCATTTAATCTTGCAGCCTTAAAAAGTAGCTACCATAATTCCTGTTGCACATATAGGAAAATGGGGCCAGTCACAGTGGCTATAATTCCCAGTGCTTCCGGAGGATTGCTTGGGGCCAGGAGTTTGAGACAACATAACAAGGCCCCATCTCTACAAAAAAGTAAAAACTAAAAGATTAGCCAGGCACACTGCCATGCACCTGTAGTCCCAGCTACTTGGGAGGCTAAGGGAGGAAGATCCCTTATGGCAAGGAGTTCAAGGCTGTATTTAGCTATAATCATACCCGTGAACAGCCATGGCACTACAGACTGGCCAACACAACAAAGACTCTGTCTCTCCAAAAAAATTAAAAAAAAAAAAAAATTAGCCAGGTATGGTGGCCCTTGCCTGTAGTCCCAGCTACTTAGGAGGCTAAGGCAGGAGGAGTGCTTAGGACCAAGAGTTCAAAGGTGCAGAGAGCTATGATTGCACGATTGCATTCCAGGCTGGGTGACAGAGAGAGACACTGTCTCTAATGAGAAGGAAGGAAGGAAAGAAGGAAAGAAGGAAGGAAGGAAGGAAGGGAGGGAGGGAGGGAGAGACGGAGGGAAAGGAAAGGATGCCTACAAAGTCATTTGCCTGAGGTCACTCTGCTAGCGGCAGGACAGACACAGAACCTGAGAACTTCAAAGTCTTGCAGAAAGAAAGAAAGGAGAAGGAAAAAGAAAGAGAAAAAGACAGACAGAAAGCAAGAAGAAACAGAAAACCTGAACAGACTAATAAAAAGTACCATGATTAAATCAGTATGAAAAGTCTCCAAACAAAGAAAATTGCATCTAAGACTAGATGGTTTTACCATGAATGATACCGAACCTTTAATAAAGAAATGATATGAATTATTCTCAAATGATTACCAAAAATAAAATAAAATAAAATAAAATGAAACACAGAGAACTCTGAATCCATTCTGTGAGACCAGCATAACCCTAATACCAAAATCAGACAAGAATACAGTAAAAAAAGAAAACTACAGGACAATATCCCCAATGAGCCTAGACACAAAAGTCCTCAACAAAATACCAGCAAATCAAATCCAACAGTACATCAAAAAGATAATACATCATAATCAACTGGGGTTTACTCCAGAGATTCAAAGATGATTCAACATATAAAAATTAATAATGTGATACACCCCATCAACAGAATGAAGGTCAAAACCAATGTGATCAAAGAAAGAGAAACAGAGAAAGAGAAAAAAAAGAAAAAGGAAAACAGGAGAAAGAGAAAGAGAGAAAGGAAGGAAAGAAAAGGAAGGAAGGAAGGAAGGAAGAAAGGAAGGAAGGGAGGGAGGGAGGGAGGGAGGGAGGGAAGGAAGGAAGGAAGGAAGGAAGGAAGGAAGGAAGGAAGGAAGGAAGGGAGGGAAGGAGGGAGGGAGGGAGGGAGGGAGGGAGGGAGGGAGGGAGGGAAGGAAGGAAGGAAGGAGGGAGGGAGGGAGGGAGGGAAGGAAGGAAGGAAGGAAGGAAGGAAGGAAGGAAGGAAGGAAGGAAGGGAAGGAAGGAAGGAAGGAAGGAAGGAAGGAAGGAGGGAGGGAGGGAGGGAGGGAAGGAAGGAAGGAAGGAGGGAGGGAGGGAGGGAGGGAGGGAGGGAGGGAAGGAAGGAAGGAAGGAAGGAAGGGAGGGAGGGATGCTTACAAAGTCATTTACCTGAGGTCACTTGGCTTGCAGCAGAATAGACACAGAACCCAAGAACTTCAAAGTCTTTGCTCTTTCCACCAAACTACAGTCTATGCTCTTCACATAGGGAGCAAGGCCACCCAATTACTGGTTAAAAACATTTTCACTTTTTAAAAATTTAGGATTAGGCTATAACATTAACTTCTAAATATATCAACATACAAATAGTACAACTGCTGTTAGGGGCCATTAATTTTACTAATTGGATATTAGCAGGAATTTCAAAATGCTAACTGAAATGAAAGAATACCAAGATAGCCATGTAATACCACTTTTATAACGCATTTTTAAAATGAAAAGAGTATACTGATGTGTCTGATAAAGTAGATCTTTAATCTTAATGGTGGATACATCCCTATCCCCTGAAAATCCTGAAACTCTCAATGCAGCTATAACATACACTGTTGCTCAGAAAGTGAAGCAATAATTTACACCACAGGAGTGACCACAAACTCAAAGTCAAGCTGCAAAAGCAAAGGCACACTGAGATGGGGCTGCCAGGCTGATGGACTATGTGAACAGGTCCTACATACAGCTCTCCCAAAAACTCTCAATCCAACTGCTGCATGTAAGATTCAAATTCATGTTCTAGTAAAATCATAAATTATTAGTAAATGGAACTCCTCCAGGGTTGTGAATTAAGGGAAGGATAAATGTTAAATCTGGCAATCATACAGTCTAGAATACTAGGAATATAAAAAAAGATTGTAATTAATCCATCCAACCCAATATGCTAGCTATCAGTAATACTAAAAGAAGTTGGTTATATAGAGGAGCTATGCTTTTTTTCCTATGAAAATAAAAATATTCTCTTTAAAAGCTAGCATGGGTCAGGTGTGGTGGCTCATGCCTATAATCCCAGCACTTTGGGAGGCTGAGGCAGGTGGGTGACCTGAGGTCAGGAGTTTGAGACCAGCCTGGACAACATGGTGAAACCCCCATCTTACTAAAAATACAAAAATTAGCCGGGAATAGTGGCAGACACCGGTAAGCTCCACTACTCAGGAAACCGAGGCAGGAGAATTGCTGCAATCCAGAGGGCGGAGGTTGCAGTGAGGCGAGATCACACCATTGCATTCCAGCCCAGGCGACAACAGCAAGACTGTCTCAGGGGAAAACAAAAAGCTAACATCAATGTTTAAATTACGTACATATCTAAACGTGAATTGCAAATCCAGTCATATCGCAAGAAGAAGAATGGGGAGAGGATGATGTAGCTTTAAAAAGTGTACTCAATATTTTAATTTGCTTTTTGATTAAAAAAAAAATTTTAACACAAATTACTGCGATAGTATAAATTGTTTCCCAAAAGATGCAATTGTTATTAAAGGGTAAGGTACTGTAACTCAGCCTTTTTTAAACCTAATGAAGTCTGTTAGAGTAACAGCTGAGAGGCACATCAACTAGTGCAGTTTATATAAAGAGTAGCTATTAAAGGATCTACTATATAGCACTTAACAGTCATAAATAATATTTTAATTATGGCTAAATTATTTAAAATACTCACAGCTGTTAAGAAAAAATATTAACTTTAAAATGTCAACAAGGTTTACTCATTCTGAAGTTCACTGGGAATTAATTTTTTTAAAAATCCTCCCTGAAATTGTTAAGTGTTGACAAATTTGCTATTACAAAGTGTTCAAAAACATTTTTCTAGAGCTGAGCATTGTGGTTCACACCCTGGCTTTGGGAAGCCAACGATGGTGGATCACTTGAGTTCAGGAGTTTGAGACCAGCCTGGGCAACATAGCAAAACCCTGACTCTTAAAAAAAATACAAAAACTTAGCCAGGCATCATGGCATGCATCTGCAGGCCCACCTACTAGGGAGACAGAGGTAGAACGACTGCTTGAGCCCAAGAGGCTGAGGCTGTGGTGAGCCATGATTGTGCCACTGCACTCTCGCCTGGGCAACAGAGTGAGACTCTGTTTCAAAAAAAAAAAATTTGAGTAGCAACTGAAAAATTTTCAGTCAATAATAAAAGTAAAAGATGATACTGTTTGAAAACATAGGTAGCTATAAAGATGACATATCTGCTATATCTTGATATCAGCTGAAGATATGCAAAAAAAGTACTTATTTTATACTCATAACTTTTTTTTCTGGAATTTCATTCAAAAGGAGATCCTCAAATAGTATTTCACAACGATCAGCAACTGTGTTCATTATATCCCTCTTTACTGCCTACAGGGAAAAACACACAAAAACACAGTAAGAATTGAATTTCTTCACATTTACATTATTTACCTAAAAAAACACACAATTTGCTTTCCAGTTCAATCGTGCCCACTAAATAACTGATAGAGCATTCAATTTTTTATTTCCACTTATTTAGCACACTTGTTAACAAATTTATAGTTTAATGGCAAATTTGCCTAGACCATATCTAAAAAATTAAAACCAAATAAATAAAATTTCACATCTAAAAAAATAATTCCAGTGTTCCAAATTAGATACTAATATGTACAACTGTGGAACACTTAATAAACTTGTATAGTCACCATTTTTAAAAAGGCACAAAATAGATATTCAATATATGAAAATCTTGACACCAATTATATGGTACATTTGGACTACACAATAGATTAGGCTGTTATCAGTTAAAATTTAATTAATGATTACAAAATACAAGATTGCAAAAAGGTAAAATTTTAGTTTTTTTAAATAGCTAACACAGTTTCATATACTAGTTATTCCTTTTTGTACCTGCACGGCCTCTTTAACTTTGGGTTTACTGTTGTGGATATAAGCTCGGCATTTCACAGCACCTTTAAGGTTTACAGAACCGCTACATATCTGGACTGTGGCTGTGGATCTGTGGTCTGAATTCAGGAGCTGAAAGACAAAATCTGTTTAAGTTCTAATAACCAATAATGATTAACTATAGGAAATGTTTAAACATAATATTCGCAGTTACATGAAGAGAGAAGAAAGTTTTGACTGAGCCAAACATTTAAAATTATTCTCCATAAATTAAAGGCATTCATATTTGTTTTTACACGTTTTATATTATTTTCCAGGTATTTTGAATGTATACTGAAATTAAGCACAACTACATCTAAATTTTTCTAACATAACTATCTAAAATGGTTCAATATTCACTCAATATATTCCTAAAAATATATTACGTGCAAATTACATCAGTACTGCGATGATTAAAAGATGTATAAAGAAGACAAAATATAGTAGATGTAAGGTGTGCAATACAAATTAACTACAAAAATAACAAATACAAAGTGAGACGTGATAACTATGGTAAAACTATAAGCAATGCACAGACATATATTCACACACTTTCAACTAAAAACTTTCAGAATAAAATTAATGGTATGCTCCAGAGCAAAACTGAAACAAGAGAACTGTGCCTTTATCAGAAAATGACATCAGTGGTCGTAAGGAGTCACCTTCACCTGACAGTCCTTAGACACAATTCCTCTTTAGTCTAAAGAATGCCAGCCCTCTTGTTTTGATTTTCAGGTGTTTAACATACATTTTCAACCTCATTATCTTAGTAAGTGCCAAAACAAGAAAACTATCAAAGTATTTAAAGTATTATACAGGTTGAGCATCCCTAATGTGAAAATCCTGAATACTCCAAGATTCCAAATTTATTGAGCACAAATGTGATGCCCAAAGAAATGCTAATTAGAGTGTATAAGATTTTAGATTTTTGGATAAGAGATGCTCAACCAGTATGTATTCTGCAAATACTACAAAAGCTAAAAAAATCCCAAACCCAAAACACTTCTGGTTCTAAGCATTTCAAATAAGGCACACTCAATCTGTAATAGAGACCTATAATCACAAATGGAAACAAAAATCATGATTTAAGAAAAAAATGGACATGGTAAGGAAGTAATTTCTGTTCTAAGAACACAGAGTATAAGTCACTCAACAACAAAGTCAATTCTGAAGAACAAAAATCAAATCACACAACTTGTGAAAAGTACATTGGGCCCATGTGCTTATGCAATCAGGAATAAACGCAGAAAAATAATGAAGAGTAGAATATTTGAATATGTAGCTACCAAAAGAGCATTATTTGATGTCTAGTGTAATTCAATGTCTATGGTAATGTAATTAGGCCAGACCTAAATCTTCTAGGTGTTGTTAAACGATTTAAACTTTAACATGGTCGAAAATGGCCATACTGCCCAAAGTAATTTACAGATTCAATGCTATTCCCATCAAGCTACCAATGACCTTCTTCACAGAACTGGAAAAAAACACCTTAAACTTCATGTGGAACCAAAAGAGAGCCCGCATAGCCAAGTCAATTCTAAGCAAAAAGAACAAAGCAGGAGGCATCACACTACCGGACTTCAAACTATACTACAAGGCTACAGTAATCAAAACAGCATGGTACTGGTACCAAAACAGAGATATAGACCAAAGGAACAGAACAGAGGCCTCAGAGGAAATACAACATACCCACAACCATCTGATCTTCGACAAACCTGACAAAAACAAGCAATGGGGAAAGGACTCCCTGTTTAATAAATGGTGTTGGGAAAACTGGCTAGCCATGTGCAGAAAGCAGAAACAGGACCCCTTCCTGACACCTTACACCAAAATTAACTCCAGATGGATTAAAGACTTAAACATCAGACCTAACACCATAAAAACCCTAGAAGAAAATCTAGGCAAAACCATTCAAGACATAGGTGTAGGCAAGGACTTCATGACCAAAACACCAAAAGCAATGGCAACAAAAGCCAAAATAGACAAATGGGACCTAATCAAACTCCACAGCTTCTGCACAGCAAAAGAAACAGTAGAGTGAATCGGCAACCAACAGAATGGGAAAAAATTTTTGCAGTCTACCTATCTGACAAGGGGCTGATATCCAGAATTTACGAAGAACTAAAGCAGATCTACAAGAAAAAAACAAACAAGTCCATTCAAGAATGGGCGAAGGATATGAACAGATACTTTACAAAAGAAGACATACAGGAGGCCAACAAACATGAAAAAATGCTCATCATCACTGGTCATCAGAGAAATGCAAATCAAAACCACATTGAGATACCATCTCACACCAGTTAGAATGGCGATCATTAAAAAATCGGGAAACAACAGATGCTGGAGAGGATGTGGAGAAATAGGAACACTTTTACACAGTTGGTGGGAATGTAAATTAATTCAACCATTGTGGAAGACAGTGTGGCGATTCCTCAAGGACCTAAAAATAGAAATCCCATTTGACCCAGCAATCCCATTACTGGGTATATATCCAAAGGATTATAAATCATTCTACTACAAGGACACGTGCACACGAATGTTCATTGCAGCACTGTTTACAATAGCAAAGACCTGGAACCAACCCAAATGCCCAACGATGATAGACTGGATAGGGAAAATGTGGTACATATACACCATGGAATATTACGCAGCCATCAAAAACGATGAGTTCACGTCCTTTGTAGGGACATGGATTAACCTGGAAACCATCATTCTCAGCAATCTGACACAAGAGCAGAAAATCAAACACTGTATATTCTCACTCATAGGCGGGTGTTGAACAATGAGAACACATGGACACAGGGAGGGGAGCACTACACACTGGGGTCCGTTGGGGGGAAATGGGGGAGGGATGGGGGGGTGGGGACGTGGGAAGAGATAGCATGGGGAGAAACGACAGATACAGATGAGGGGACAGAAGACAGCAAACCACACTGCCTTGTGTGTACCTATGCAACAATCTTGCATGTTCTTCACATGTACCCCAAAACCTAAAATGCAATAAAAAAAATAATAAAAATAAATAAATAAATAAATAAATAAAAATAAACTTTAACATGGTCAAGGACTTGTTGATAAAAAATTTGTCACAGACCACACAACTCCAAAAGTCCAGGGTCCATTCAAAAAATGGCTATCGTCAAATCAAGCAGCAGTGTGACAACGCTGATACGATATCTGGAGTAAGCTTCCATTTGATGCATGTAGAGTTCGTCGATGTATCGGTACAGGTGGACGAGGAGTAACAGGCTTCCCCTATCTATTCTATAAAGTTTTATTATAGACAAAACTACTCTATTTTAAAAAAGAATGCCCTCTTTTACATATTTGACATATAATTTATATTTTTAACATATAACACATCTATATATTATTACCTGTAAATACGTGTGTGTATATACATATATCTCTATATATTAGGGCACTGTTATCCAAAATAGACTAGACTATTAAAGACTATACACACACTTATCAAAGAAAAGAAGGTTTTTATGGTTGGTTGGTTGGTTTGGTTTTGTTTGAGGCAGGGTCTCATTCGGTCATCCAGGCTGGAGTGCAGTAGTGCTATCACGGCTCACTATAGCTTCGACCTTCCAGGCTCAAATGATCCTCCCACCTTCGCCTCCTGAGTAGCTGGGACTACAGGTGCACATCATCACATCCAGCTAATTTTTGTAGAGACAGGGTTTCATTTGTTGCTCAGACTCATCTTGAACGCCTGGGCTCAAGCGATCAGCCTGCCTGGGCCTCCAAGAGTGCTGGGATTACACCATGTTTACTCAGGAAAAGTTTTAAAGAGTATAAAGTCTGACTCATTCCTTTTTGGTAGAAATGTAAACCATCTGGGGTCTACAAATGTAAACTCTTTTTGGTTACCTGGACTTAGGAATAATCTGGCTGAAAAACAGCCTTTAGGAACCTAACTGGTTCAGAGGTGAAGGAATTTCTATAATGCTGACATGGTATTTGAAAAAGAGATCCCCATTTCTGTGGTAACTAAATGAAATCTTAGGCAAGTAGTGGCACTTGGGGTAGGTCTTAATGTACAGATAGGATTTCAACAGTTTGGGTGACAGAGAAAAGAGCAATGACATGAAACATGTTCAGGAAGACAGAGTTTTAAAGGCACAGCAAGAATACATCTAGAAAATAAGAACAAAAAGCTACGCTGGGGCTACAAAGAACCCTGAGTTGGAGTTCTGTAACTAGACAGTGCAGAACAGTTAAGAAACTCTGAGCAAGTAGAATAGCATAATCAGTGTCTGGCCATTGGACAAACTCAAAAAACATCTCTTTAAAAAAATAAATAAGTGAATGAATGTAAACTATGATTCAGAAATGATAACCTGAGTGTATAAATAGGATAGAATAGATAAATGGAAAGTATTTCAAAAGACATACCAGCAAAGCTAGAAAGTTTTAGAGAAACAATCACTTTGGACAAGAATGCACAGATGAAGAGAGACCAGTTAACAGTTAATTGTGCTAATTTAGGTAAAATAATACTGTTGTAAGGCTAATGCCAGTAGGACTGTATGGAAAATAAAAGATAAGCTTAACATGACAAATAAAAAATCAATTTCAGACTTAACTGGAAGAAAAGTGGCAGTACGTGCTATTTACTATATATTAGTCACTTCAAAATTTCCAGTTAAGTGATCGGTGAATGACTGACAAAAATATATTAGACTATATAATATTACTATAACAAATTATTTCAAGATATTATCTTCCATTCATCTCTCCATATTCCCACACTCTCTATATATCTCCCAACTACAATTTTATACTATTAATAAAATAATCTTAACTAAATTGTTTAATAAACCAAGAAGTAAGCCTAACTAATGAAGAACACGTAAGTAGAGGAATAGCCAGCCTTAAAACAAAGGACACTTCTAAAATCATGACAAGTAGAAAATCAGAAACTAAAATACCTCTAAGGTATTAAAAAATCTGAGAACTCATGTTGAGTGGATTAGTCCAATAACAATTTACTAATGTTCTATTTTTTTTATTTTAATTTTTTTGAGACGGAGTTTCGCCCTTGTTACCCAGGCTGGAGTGCGATGGCACGATCTCGGCTCACCTCAACCTCCGCCTCCTAGGTTCAGGCAATTCTCCTGCCTCAGCCTCCTGAGTAGCTGGGATTACAGGCACGCACCACCATGCCCAGCTAGTTTTTTGTATTTTTGGTAGAGACGGGGTTTCACCATGTTGACCAGGATGGTCTCGATCTCTTGACCTCGTGATCCACCCGCCTCGGCCTCCCAAAGTGCTGGGATTACAAGCGTGAGCCACTGCGCCTGGCCCTTTTTTTATTTTTTTTTGAGACAGAGTCTTGCTCTGTTGCCAGGCTGGAGTACATGGCGTGATCTCAGCTCACTGCAACCGGCACCTCCCAGGTTCAAGCGATTCTTCTGCCTCAGCCTCCCGAATGGGTGGGACTACAGGTATGCACTACCATGCCCAGCTAATTTTTGGTAGTTTTAGTAGAGATGGGGTTTCACCATGTTGGCCAGGATGGTCTCAATCATATTGACCTCGTGATCCACCTACTTCAGCCTCCCAAAGTGCTGGGATTATAGGCGTGAGCCACCGTGCTCGGCTGTAATATACTAACACTCTATTGTTAAACACAAAAAAAGAACTAAAATATCCTCAAATGCCAAATTGCTTTTAATTCTATTCTATTCAGTTCAAAAAAATCCAAGTCTTGAAGTATTTCTGTTTCAAAATCCAGTATAATGTTGAAATTAAGTTTCTTACAAACAGGCATGTGCTATTTTATACCCTGTTCTTTAGGGTAATTTCAAGAAGGATTAAAATCAATGGCCTGTATATTTTTAGGAGTAATTCATAGCTTTAACTGTTTATTCCTCAAGATATTCAACTTTTACATTTTCGAAAAGATACGTATATTAAAGCAACCATACAGAAATATAAAACTTGCTAATTAATACTTGGTGATTTTTATCAAATTAGGAGGCATAAATCTAATAAATCTACTCAAATTAAGCATGTGACAACTCTTTGCACCTCTGTGCACACATCTTTTACTTCCAATTTGTTAAAACTGCAACTTTAAAAGCCACAACCCAAAATATTTACAAACATGCATATACATGTATGTATGTATATGTACATGTTTTTTTAAAACCATTTACTTGATGTTAAAATTTTAATGTACTTGAGACAAAAAACCCAAACAAGTTTTATTAAAATGGCATTTCTTGGGAATAACCTTCCTATATCTAGATATTTTATACAATCTCTTATAGAATAAGAATAAAATAAAAGAATAAAATTCTTTTATTCTCTAATGAGAAACATAAAAACAGAAACAGTTTATTACGGTCATTTTAATAATCATTTTAAATAAGTGGTATTATAAAATATTTACCAACTGCGTTAGCACTCTGACATCAAAAGAATGACCAGTTGCTTGAGTATTTCCTCTGGAAGATTTTTTCTGAAAAAACACAAAAGTTAAAAAGTCAAATTGTTAAGACTATGGAACGTAAAACACAACTTAGAAACTATTGCAGATACACTACGTAACTTAGAAAAAAACAAGTCTTTTAATCATTTTAAGTTAGCTTTTTATATAGATATTACTTTATATACTCTGCATCAATCAAAGTGCACTCCTTAAAACAATTAATTCTGTACTTTTACTCCTCTAAAGCGACCACTGGCAAACCATTGCCTGTGGACAAATACCCGCACTGCCACCTGTCCTTGTAAGTCAAGTTGTACTGATATGCAACCAGGATCATTCACTTACGTATCTCCCGTAGTTTCTTTCATGCTACACAGTAGAGATGAAAATACAGCCTGTGAAATCTAAATATGTAGTATTTTTCTCTTCACACACAGTTTGCTTATCCCTGCTCTAATAAGGGAGAGATCCCAAAAGTTCCTCTTCCTTCGGGTCACAGCTATTTTAGAAGCCTCTATAGACCTCTCCTATAAAATGGCCATAGCTGTTGAACTGTCATCAGGGCAGAATGACGTGTGGTCTTTGGTCGCAAGTGAGCAGTTTGCAATTTGAAAATCAGATGGAAATCAGATGACACTCCCGTAACGTTTCAGGATTCGACTGTCATTTTTCCTTGGACTTAGTTTATTTTTTAACTTTTAAGTTCATGAGTACATGTGCAGGTTTGTTATATAGGTGAACTTGTGTCTCGGGGGTCTGACGTACAGATTATTTCATGACCCAGGTATTAAACCTAGTACCCATTAGTTATTTTCCTCATCCTCTCCCTCTCCCACCCACTACCTTCCGACAGGCTCTAGTGTGTGTTGTCCCCTCTGTGTGTCCACGTGTTTTCATCATTTAGCTCTCACTTACAAGTCAAAATGTATGGTATTTAGTTTTCTGTTCCTGTGTTAGTTTTCTTTTTTTTTGGAGATAGAGTCTCACTCTGTTGCCCAAGGCTGGAGTGCAGTGGCACAATCTTGGCTCAATGCAACCTCCACCTCCCAAGTTCAAGCAATTCTTCTGGCTCAGCCTCCGAGTAGCTGCGATTACAGGCAACTGCCACCAAATCCAGCTAACTTTTATATTTTTAGTAGAGATGGGGTTCCACCATGTTCACCAGGCTGGTCTTAAACTCCTGACCTCAAGTGATCTGCACACCTTAGCCCCTCAAAGTGCTGGGACTACAGGTATGAGCTACCATGGTTGGCCCCTGAATTAATTTTCTAAGGATAATGGCCTCCAACTCCATCCATGTACCTGCAAAGGGCATAATCTCGTTCTTTTTCATGGCTGCATAGTATTCCATGGTGTATATGTACCACATTTTCATTATCCAGTCTATCATTGACGGGCATTTAGGCTGATTCCATGTCTTTGTTATTGTGAATAGTGCCACAATGAACATAATGCATGCATGTATCTTTACAATAAAACAATTTATATTCCTTTGGGTATATACCCAAGAATGGGGCTGCTGGGTCAAATGGTATCTCTGTTTTTAGGTCTTTGAGGATTCACTGCCTTTCACAATGGCTGAACTTACTTACACTCCCACCAACAGTGTGTAAGCATTCCTTTTCCCCTGTAGCCTTGCCAGCATGTTATTTTTTGACTTTTTAGTAACAGCCAATCTGACTGGTATGAGATAGTATCTCACGGTGGTTTTCATTTGCATTTATCTGATGATCAGTAATGCTGAGCTTTTTTTCATATGATTCTTGGCTGCATGCATGTCTTCTTTTGAAGAGCGTCTGTTCATGTCCCCTGTCTACTTTTTAATAGGGTTGTTTTTCTAAGAAAAACATTTGCCCTTTACTTTAAAAGAAATTAGAAATGAGTAGATGAAATCAGTTTTCTTATAGGCAAGGATTGAAGATTAATCATCTTTAATAACAATTTCATAAGATGATTTTCTCTTAACTCACCTGTCCTTCTAATAGGTCACAATCTTCATCTTTAACTTGTCCATTAATCAAATAAACACCATTTTCTATTTGCTTGGCCCAGCGTGTAAGTCCATTCTTAACAGAAACACAACATGAAAATCTTTTAGATATAATGTCATCTCAATTAAACTTCCTAGACTCTACTTTTTTTTCCACCTTACAAACTGAAATATTGAAATCCATAAGTCTTATTAATGCAGCATTTAAATCTAGTTTCACAAATTAAAAAAAAAAGTACACCCCCCAATTCTTGGTACCTTATGATATTTAATAACATAGTTTTTTTCCAATCTTTATCCCAGAATAACATTTATGCCATAGACTTGGGAGTTTAAGTACATGACCACTCAAATAAAATTTAGTGCCCATTACCCCGGGGGAAAAAGAAAAAAGGGAGAAAAAAGCCTCAAATAATGTAAAAGCACAAATAATTTTTAAAAAGCTCCATTTCACATCTTCAATGTGAAAAATGGAAGAAAAATGAGATAAAAATTTTAAAATGGTATAGAAATACCAAAAAGAACTGGAAAAAGGAAGACAAAAACAGTGAGTACCAGCCGGACGCGGTGGCTCAAGCCTGTAATCCCAGCACTTTGGGAGGCCGAGGCGGGTGGATCATGAGGTCAAGAGATCGAGACCATCCTGGTCAACATGGTGAAACCCCATCTCTACTAAAAATAAAAAAAATTAGCTGGGCGTGGTGATGCGCGCCTGTAATCCCAGCTACTCAGGAGGCTGAGGCAGGAGAATTGCCTGAACCCAGGAGGCGGAGGTTGCGGTGAGCCGAGATCGCGCCATTGCACTCGAGCCTGGGTAACAAGAGCAAAACTCCGTCTCAAAAAAAAAAAAACAAAACAAAACAAAACAAAACAAAAACAGTGAGTACCAAGAGAAAGCTAAACATCCAAACAGTATAGCTTCTCACGTTAATTACATTTTATGTATGTTAATTAATGAATATTTATTATGTGCCTTAATAGGCACACAATGAATACTGGTGTATTTAGTTTAATGACAAAATAGGCACATAATAATATTTAATAGGCATGTAATAAATACTAGTGTATTTAGTTTAATAACTAAATTTACTTTATTTATTAATAAACTAAAGCACTCTAGCCTGGGCAACAGAATGAGTCCCTGTTACACACAAGAAAGTTTTCCTTACCTGTAATAAAATTAATCATATTTCAAACCATAATAACTAGATTTAGTTATTAAACTAAATACACTAGTATTATGACGCTGTTCCACTTCTAACAATTTCTAAGTTGGCTGGAGTAGTAAGTTTCTTACTCATATAACAACATTATTATAAACAGAATGTAATTTGTGAAGACTGTAAAATGAATGACACATGAAAGCAGAATAAAAGCAGATTGTTCACCAGCAACCACTGAAGCAAATTCATTTTACCCTGATACCTTTGTATTTTTCTCCAGAGTATAGCTGACAGAAGTAGCAGAAAGTGGGATGTGAATATTAATGTGAACTGTACACTCTAAAGAAAGCCATGAGGATGACAATCCATTTTGATACTTCCAATCTGCCGGTCTTGCTGAACTCTAGCAGTGGAGAAGGGAGAAAAATAACTATGACGTGGTCTAGGTAAAATAGATGGATCAACAAAACATCATTAAGTATATGACCTAAGTAGCTCATACAAGCGGGTATCTAACATATATGGCTAAACCCTTAATCAAAAGATTATAGGTTGAACTAAATACAAAATAAAGCCTGTGTTAAGTTCAGTACTCTTAAATACATCCTTGGCAATACTTCTCCTCACAGTGGTAGGCAGAAAAAGAATCAGAAATGTCCATATTTAGAATTCTGAAAGGTCCTTTGATTCTCCAGTTTCAACAGTATCAATACTGAAGATTCTGATGTGAAGCAAATATGAAGCAAATAATCACTGAGCAACTCGTAGGTGACAAGCATTCTCCTTTCTGTCCCATCCTTGCTAATGACACTGTGAAGCTACTTTTTCACAAAGCTTTTAGAAGCGTTAGCAAAATGCTAGTCTGGGTTTTGCTGAACACATGTAGCTTGTTTAGTAGGCATTGCAGCTACCAAAAATCTTCAGTCACTTCTACTACCAGCCTCTCAAATATAAAACTAAATACACAAACAAGGTAGGAGAGGATTAACAAAGATATTTTAACAATTTTTTTAAAAGTTGGCTGGGCACAGTGGCTCAAGTTTGTAATCCCAGCACTTTGGGAGGCCAAGGCAGGCAGACCACTTAAGCCCAGACATTAAAGACAAGCATGAGTAATATGGTGAAATCCTGTTTCTACCAAAAACAAAATAAAAATAATTAGCTGGGTGCAGTGGTGCACATCTGTAGTCTTAGCTGCTTAGGAGGCTGAGGTGGGAGCATCCCTCAAGCCCAAGAAGTGGAAGCTGCAGTGAGCCATGACCGCATCGCTGCACTCTAGCCTGGGCAACACAGTGAGACCCTGTCACACACAAAAAAGTTGTCCTTACCTGTAATACAATTCATCATATTTAAAACTACAAAAATTACACTTGGTTATACACATCAATAGGAAGTGATGGCAATGGAAATTATTAAAACTAAATATAAAGCTGAATTTTGACTGAAAATACTTTGTGACCCAGAAAAATCTTTAAAGAATAAATTTCTTACCTTTGGATCACGGATATCATAACTTCGACAAAATATTCTTTACTAATTAAGGACGAAATAACCAAAAAAGACATTATTGATAACTGAAAGAATATAAACCATCAAAAAATAAACTAAAAAATACATGCATCCAAAAGTTCTTACAAAATCCTAACACTTCATATAGAGACAGGCAGATACATGCATATATGTCTGTGTATACGTACATTCATACATATAAATTGCTGTTACTATAGTACTTCAGTGCTTGAAAATCATTTCCTACCTTTTAGAAATCCCGCTAATTGCAATCCATAGAATGAAAGCATCTGAAAAATTCTGCTCAAGTACATCTCTCCACAACAAAAAGGAGCACTGTTTTATGTGAGGTCAAGCCTGAGACTATTTATTGGATGAAAGGGTTCATATATGAAACTTTGTGGTTAAACACTAAAGATGTGGGGCAGGGAGAGAGGTGCCCTGCTTCTGCTGAAATGGCCCCTTTAAAAATTCTGTCTTTGGAAGTCCATGGATTGTGTCCTTCCTTTGGTGACGCTGATCATTGCTTGGGAGGTACCCTTGCCCTGGCAAGGTGCAGACAAGAGACACTAAGCAGGCCCTGGAACTGGCTTTTAGTGTCATTTCATCTTGGCCAAGGACATAAGAATTTCTTGGATGTCCTATACCGTTCAGCTCTGTGACCTGTGCTTTGAATTGTACATCATTATCTATAGAAATTGGAGGTGAAAACTTTACCATAATAAAAACGTTACTTTACCTAAGCCATCGGTTAGGCATTGATCTCTCTAGGGAACCTACTGTGCTTGGATGTACAGGGGCAGACAGCTGGTAAAAAATTCAGAATCCTGAGCCTTTAATATTTCAGATCTCAAACTTTTTATGACCTGACCCTGGGACATGATTAACAACCATTATTGCTATTATTATTATTGGTAGCTCTAATTCCATGTTATTTACAGAAAAATTTTACAAAACTATGCCTATTTTTTAGATAATGATTTAAATAAATAGTGAAAAAACCTTGCAGGAACACTATTTTGGTACTTTGTGCTTTTAAACCATAAACAACTGAATAAAAGATACTTTTTTGTAGAAGCACAAATGTGAAGTGTCACTCGTTCTGAGACCTCCTCCTCTGTGAAATTCCACAATCTCTTTCTATTTATAGACTTTTCCACAGCAAACATTAGCTGAAAAAGAGAAAAACACGTATCAACTGAATACAAAATGAAAAACAAAAGTGAGTGTTGAAATAGGTCATTATATGTCCCCTACTCTCATCTAGCTTTACAATTTCACAGCTGGGACTACAGGCGTGTGCCACCAACAATTCTCCTTTTCTTCAAATTAAAGACTGGAACTAATTATTAACCTTTTTGAATTCCCTTTTTTAGGAATTTATAAAAAATTGGGTTTCAATAGAAAAATGTAATTCACTGTCATTGGTTACTAACTGTACATGAAAAATTAATTTGGAGCAAGTAGACTTTACATAAACTACAGAATAGAGACTTTATTTTAATTAAAGTGAGAAATGACAAGTGATTTTAATGAAAAATCAAGCATGTCACACATTTAGCATTTCTTATTTAAATATCACAAAAGACTTAAGGCAATATATAAAGACAGATAAAATATAGTAAGAGCATATATTAAAAGTTAAATAAGTAGAATAGTGACATAAATTTGTGTCAGAAATGAGAATTGTAAAAATGCATATAAAAATGCATATAAGGGGTGATAATATATTTGGCTCATAATATATTTGGCTCTAAGCTTTCTAATAATAATATGCAGAGATGACTCTAACCTGTAACCTAATTGACATGGTCTATAAGCTGAAAACAAACAATAATCAGAAGAGGCACAACTTTCTTCATAATATAAAAAGAATGTCTTCCAGAAACACAATATTAATGTAATACAATGAATAAAGTTCTTCACAATAATGGGTGACACTGACAAGTTTTATGAGGCTGATTCTTACAGTGTTTGCCAATGTAAGCCGATGGAAACAGAGAACCGAAACTCAGTAATTTCAGAGATAAAGCATTTCTAAAGTTTTATATGCTTCTTAGGAACAAAAAAACATAAAAGCAAAAGGAAAGTGGATCTTGCTATATCTCTCTAGCACCGGGCCCACATTCACCCAGCTCAAGTCAGCACCAGCCACAAAAGGGTGCACTATCAATGCTGGTAATTAATTAAATACGCATAGGTTTAGGTTATGCCAAAAGGAATGAACAAAATGCCAAAAGGAATGAACAATTGTGAAAGAGGCAAATTTATTTAAGATGGAAAAATCGGCAAACGGTTAAACTATTTAATAGGGAGGAAAATATCTCCATTTTCTTCCCTTAGGTGCAAACATCAAAGTCTTGAGACTGGGACATCTGACAGGACAGGTTACAAGACTGAAAAAATCTGTAACATCTGAAGTTCTCAGCTGCACACTTTTTTTTTTTTAACCTAAGAAACGTTTCTTCCTGAGATACTTTGGGGTTTTATACTTCTCAAGATTATAAGGTCCTCTCTCTCGGGGTATGAAATACACTTCAAAAAGTTCACATGGATCATGAATGCTAAAAGAGATGATAGCTGGCCACACAGAGTTTACCTTAGGGTTGGGTTTAAGGGAAAACAGCTTGTGGACCTTCATATTTTAGATTATGTTACCCAAATCTCTAGTGCAGTAATTAAGCCAAAAACACAAGAGATTCCTGATAGATACTGTGTCCAGGAATAATCTGATTGTTTCTTTATGTTTTACTCTTAAGATCCTGAGAGAATTGAAAAGAAGGCAAAGAATTACAGTACCTATTGTAACGATCACTAGGTACTACATGGAAGTTGTGGCAAAATACTGCTATTGCACAAGAAAAATGGTTAAAGCATTCTAACTTGTTTCCTAATCGTCAGAAATCATCTCTAAAATAAAGACTATTTTAAAACATGTAGTTTTGATTAAAAATATAAACATTTATTACACTCAAGATATCCAAGCAATTGAGTGAAAAAAGCTCTTTCAATGTAACCCCAGCAAAATGAATTATGGAAAATGGATCTTAATATGCTTAGAATAATAATATACTCATAATCAATAAAAATAACATATAACTCTAATTTTATTAAGAATTTTTTATATTTCACACTTACTCTACGCAGGGCATTTTGAAAATCATTTGCCAGTTCTAAAGTAGTAATAATAAATACTCCAAGAACTAAAAGTCCTCCTGGTAGCATTCTGGATACCTAAATATAGAAATAAAGTATTAGCTAACAGAAGCATTTGGCATTACATGCAATCCTTTCTGTTTGAGAAACTAAGTGTCTTCTTAGAGTGTCCTTAGCTTTTCACCTTAAAGCTACTTTATAAATAAAACTATCTGATAACAACATCCTTTAGCTACATCAATAAATAAACCCCTTTCTCAGGAGATCAAAGACTTAAAATATTTTTTTTCAGCGGCCTCTCACCATCAGCTAAATGTCTCACCTCTTATGGATCCTTCAAAGGCAGCTTGAGGAAGCTGCCTTCGATCTCTGAACCTCACAGGGCTTCAGTGTAGTTCTCCCATGGACTTTATCACATAGCCTTATATTATCTGTGAACCCTACCAATTGGTCAGGGAGCTCCTTAAGGAAACAACAAGTAATTCTACCTTTGTATCCCTATTTTTAGCAGCATACTAGATCTGAAATTTGAACAGAGGGAGTCTGACTTGAAAATCCGTTACTTCCTATTGCATAGATCTACCTCAAATTTTTAAATCCATTTACTGGCACTGGGCATTTATGTTACATCTAATTTTACCTTAAAATAATATTGATTAAAAATCCTAGTGCATCTTTCTGCATTCATGGGATTATCTGTTTAGGACAAATCCTTTAAGATCGACAACTAGGTTAAGAAGTTATACATACTTAGCTTTTTGATACATATTACCATGATATCTCCATATCTGTATTTTCCTTCACATGATTGTGGCCAGTTCTTAATGCCACATGGGTATTTTTCTACCATCTATACTCAGAAATTAGAGTGCTTCGGTCAGCTTTCATTTACTTAATGTATATGCAATCAATCGAGAGTAGTCTTAGAAAATTAGATACCATACTTTAATCCTTAATCTACTTGCATTATGTGTGCTTGTGGTTTCCTCTGATTGAATAAATTCCACTTACTATAGTAATACAATTCTAACAAAGTTTTCGTATTTACCACAGGGAGCCTGTATACGTTTTCAAAATCACCAATGCAAAAAATTAACCATCTCTTAGGACAGGCGTCCCCAAACTATGGCCGGCAGGCCGCATGCGGCCCCCTGAGGCCATTTATCCGGCCCCCCGGCCGCACTTCAGGAAGGGGCACCTCTTTCATTGGTGGTCAGTGAGAGGAGCACAGTATGTGGCGGCCCTCCAACAGTCTGAGGGACTGTGAACTGGCCCCCTGTGTAAAAAGTTTGGGGACGCCTGTCTTAGGAGATGGCAGTGAAGGCAAGAAAGGGGAAAAAAAGTAAAATTAATCTTTTCTTTCTAGAGGTTAAAGGTTAAGCTACTTCACTATTTAAGTTCATTCACATTCTCTGTGTGTGTGTGTGTGTCACATATAATTTTATGAGAGACCAAAAGCGAAATTAGAGTAGAAAGTTATTTATAAACCATTGGGAATTTAACTTTACAATACTTGATATTTTCTTTAGAAGACAGCTGCTATAGCTTGCAAGTTTGTCCCCTTAAACATCATGTTGAGGGTGTTTGGGTCACGGAGCAGATCCCTCATTAATGGTTTGGTTCCATCCCCTCAGCAATGAATGAGTTCTTGCTATATTTTTTCCCAGGAGAGCTGGTTGTTAAAAAAGCCTGGCACCTCACCCCACCTTGCTTCCTCTCTGGCCATGTGATCTCTATATACCAGTTCCACTTTGCCTTCTGACACGAATAGAAGCAGCCTGCGGCTTTCACCAGAAGTCCAATCTTGCACCCAGCAGACTCATGAGCCAAACAGGCCTTTTTTCTTTATAAATTACTCAGTCTTAGGTATTCCTTAGTAGCAACACAAATGAACTAAAACAATAATAATTAAATATTTCTTGAATTTTTTTTTTTTTTTTGAGACAGAGTCTTACTCTATCACCCAGGCCTACCTCAGCCTCCCAAGTAGCTGGGATTACAGGCACTCACCACCATACATGGCTAATGTTTTGCATTTTTAATAGAGACAGGGTTTCGCCATGTAGGCCAGGCTGGTCTCAAAACTCCTGACCTCAGATGATTCAACCGCCTTGGCCTCCCAAAGAGCTGGGATTACA